TGTAACCATGGCAATGAAACAATATACAACAGAATGAATGTAAAACTAATGTTCTCCCATGTAAACTATCACATAACTCACAATAAAACATTTTAAAAATGCAAATAAAAATACTACATGTGTACGTATTTTTTGTGTACGAGCTTTAACAAGTTCATATAAAACTGAATAGGAAAAAAGAAAAAGAATGAAATTTTTGACTAACTTTTTGGAGGCCCTTTGTACAAATGTGACTCAAAAAAGTGACAACTCCTTTTCGTCTCAGACCCCCTTTGCCACTCTCTCGCAGAGATTGTGGTGTGTACCTTTCCAAATCTTTTTCACTGGGGCAACAGACTTTCCTTCGGCAATTTCCCTGACTTGCTGCGTGGATTCAAGGAGTAATACAGCTCCCTGTGCTTGGTGGCTCTTCACAACCACCTAGCTGTTGCCTAGCCACCTGCCTCCAACACTGCTCCAATGCCATGGGGTCTGGCTACAGCCAGGGGCTTCGGGAACTCTGCTACCTGGAGCTGGACCCCCAGAGACTTCCAGTCTTGACCAGACTGCCTTCGGACTCTACCAGGCCCAGGGCCAGCAATGGAGAAGTGGTGAAGTCTCCTCATGTGGGTGCGATCTTGGGGACCTGCTAGGTGGCTAACCAGCCCTCCCTGGGCAGCCTTGACCTGTACTTGTCATGTGACTCCTCTAAACTGCAAGCAGCAGCAGTTACCCCGCAATCCTTGGCTCTCTCTTCTCCCCCCCCCCAAAAAAAATATAATAAAATAACCTGTTGCTGTAGATTCAATTCCAAGTCATTGTGACCCCACGTGTTACAGAGCAGAACTGCTCCAGAGAATTCTCTTAGCTGTAAAACTTGTGGAAGTGGATTGCCAGGACTTTTTTCCTTGGCACCACTAGGTGGGTTTGAACCGTCAAACTTTAGTAGCCAAATGTACACTGTATATGCCCCAAGGACCTAACAGTCACTCAGTGGACTAAAAATGATGTGTTTTTCTTTCTTTCACTGACAGTGAATTAGATCTCCCTTTCATCTAATCACCAAAGTCATCCTGCCATACCTCAGTTTCTCAGGATCAGACGCTGCCTTAGCAGGTCTGGGATACCACTTCCCCCGGGGCAGCTGTGCTTCCCCTATGAGATTAGGTCAGGGCCCACAGGTATGACTGACAAGTGCATGATGGGCTGCCAAGGGACAGACAGACACACAGGATTGGAAAAAGGCCCCCAAACCAACAGAAGGAAAGAAAATTGGAAAGATCTGACTGTCAAATGCAATGCTTGACCCTCTATGGGTTCCTGGTTTGCAAAGAAAATAAAGTCTTGAGATGCTAAGGAAATGTGACTATGGACCAGATATTTTGCTAGATGCACCATGGCACTGTGGTTATGGAGGACAACATTGCTATTTTAAGAAGATGTATGTACACTGATGCACAGGGAAACATTTAGGAGTCCGGTGTCTGCTGCCTGCAGCTACCTCCAAGGCATTTGGCAGAGACAGAGAGCTGGCTAATTAGGCAACACACACATGGCTAACAGTTGCACAGAGACCTACATGTAGAAGGACACCATTTAGGTCATGGGTACCCGAGCTGGCACTGGGTAATTTTTTACCATTTTCAGATGCCTAGAAATTGTCTGATAAAAACATAGGGGTGGGAAGAGTTGTTGCAAGGTGCGTCCAGGCAGGCAGGGGGTGGGTAGGCTGTTTGCACAGAGTGCCCACCAGAGAGGCTGTGGCAGGCAGCGGCACCCTCCCTGGAACGGTACTGACCTCAGGGCAGCGGCCCTACCCATGGCCGCACGGCACAGCGAGATGCGCTCCATGACATTCTGCAGCTCCTGGCTCCGGGCACGCTTGTCCTGGATGATTTCATCGCGTCTCTCTTCCTGGGCACGTTGCTGGGTCTCCCCGAGCAGAGCCAGGCGCTCGTGAAGCTCCACAATGGACATCTCGCCCTCCAGCCCGTACCCAGGGATCTGTGGGGTTGCATTAGGCTAGCAGCATCCGCTCTTGCAGGAGCACAAGCCGGCATAGGTCCAGGGTGCAGTGGCTCAGCCTGCACACCCTCCACAGCCCATGCCCCACCTGCCTTGGTCAGCCCTGGGCCCTGGTCTTTCTGCTGCCCCAGTGCTAAGGGCATTGTTCAGACCTCACTCCAATGGGCGCTATCCTGGGAGGGTAACCAGGGAGCCCAGAAAACAGTCTGTGGGATGGGAGTCTGGGCTCCTGCTGCAATCCCTGTCTTGCCCAATATTGTTGTTGTTGTTGTTAAGTACATGCTCCCTGCCCTCACCCAGGCCCTGGATTTGACCCTTGACCTCAGCTCTGTCAGCCTGCACCTCTCCATTTGAGGGTCCTGAAGGCTGTTCTACTGCGGCAGGCCCATGCTTCTGAAGCCCAGACTCTAGCTGGCTCACGTGACTTTCCCAGGCCTGGCTTCCAGGCAGCCTTCTGATCTACCCCCAGGGATTACAGGGGTCTTGGTCAGTGTCTGTCCTGAGACAGGACTGTGACATCCTGGGGCCAGACCCAGGGCGTCAAGCCCCGTGGCTAGTTGGGGTGGATTTGGGCGTGGTAAGACACAGGGGTCCCCTCTAGGTCCCTGGTGTGGTCCTCACCTGGGTCAGGTCCACAAGCTTGCCCTTGCGCGTGGGCTGCGTCTCCATAGCACGCAGCTGGGAGATGAGGACACACCTCTGCCGCTGCTGCTCCCTGGCCTCCTGGGCACTTTGCTGCAGCAGCGCCCGGCTCTCTTCCATCACCTCCTGAGCTGGGAGCCAAGCCGGGAGCTAGTGGGCCAGGCAGTGGCCTCCATGTGGAGTCCGCTACCTGGCCCACTCCCCAGCACACACAGCATAGTGGCTCGCCCGCCATACCTGCCTGTCGGCGGCCCTTCAGAAGCTTCAGCTGTGCCGCCTTGACGTTCTTCTGAGCTTCTATCACCTGCTCCACCAGCTCCTTCATGGATCTCTGCTCCTGGAGCTCCCTCTCCGCACACAGTTGCATCAGTGCCGCTGTCTACTGGACAATGGGCCACATGGTGTCGGGGAGGGCCCAGTGGAGAAGGATGAGGTCTGGAGGCTACTTAGGAACCCAGGTCTAAGCCAAACAGCAGCTGGTGAGCCCACTGAAGCTGGGCTGCCTGGGACGTTCCACTGACCACACTCCTCCCAATGTGATCTGAGGGTGGTGACCCTAGAACCACAAAGCCACCTTCCCACATCTGAAGATGAAGCTAGTGAGGGAGTCAGGAGAGTCCTAGAGAAACTGAGGCAGCAACACTGGATTCACCTTGAAACTTGGCCCCCAGATAGAAAACACAATGGTGCATTGAGTCAACGCTTGTAGATTAGCTGGGGCTGGATGCTCCAACACTCCCCAGGCCACCACAAAGGACATGCCAGGCCCAAGGGATCACCTGGCTCCTCCATCGGATGTCCCCTCCCTGGAGGACACCACTCATGGCTGGTCCTGACAGTTATCCCCACGCTTTTCTTTGTCCTTGTGCCTCATAAGGAAACGTCCCTGACCAACAGAATGTGGCTTAGAACTTCTAATCCCTGTATGCATAGTGGGCCTGCATACTCCTTTCTCAGTGTAACTTCTTTTGTGCTGAGAATCATCCTGTCATTGCAGTTTCTGTACGTTTCTGTGCACGCACAACTTTGCTCCATTCTACCATTGGTGACTATTTTAGCTAGCGCTGGCTTTAACAGAAATCTATTCTCTCATAGGTTAGCAGGTTAAAAGTCTGAAATCTGGGAGCCAGCTCTGTGGGAAGGCTTTCTCTGTCTACCAGCTTTGGGGGAAGGTCCTTGTCTCCTTTCAACATCTGTGAGTGTAATGTCCCTTGGAGATGTGTTTGGCATCCATCTTCCCCTGGGTCTAGGAGGTTCTCAGCGCAAAGACTCTGGGTCCAAAAGATGAGCTCTGCTCCTGGCTCCTTTTATTGGCCTAAAGTCCCTCCTTTTCTGTTCACTTCTTTCTCCTTTTCTCTCTTGTAAGATCAAAGGTGATGTAGGCCACACCCCTGGGGAACTCCCCTACATTAGATCAGGGTTATGTATCAAGGCTGGAACATTTTATACCACCGGGAGATAAGGAAGTACTCAAAGAAACACAAGGATGGGGGCATGTCAAAGAGATGTAGGAGCCACCTGAAAGAGACCACAGTGGTCAAAGCAACAAAATAAATGAGGTAGCCTTGGATTCTAACAACAAGAATCAAAGTAAATATTCATCAGTCCACACTGAAATGAATACAAAGGAGCTTCAAAAAGTTCATGGACAAATGGAGTTGAAAGATAATGGAAAATTTCCACAAACGTCTTGAAGGCCCCGTTTAAATGAAGGAATGAATGAATGAGGGAGAAGAGATACCTCTGTGCAGTAGGATTCCAGGTAACTGGTGTAGACACACAGTCCTCACAGAGGTGAAGCTGAAGCCCTCTTCTCCTGGTGTGTGACCATGCTTACTGACTCACTTCCAAAGAGCAGAGTATGGAACAGGGAGGGAAATGACTACAGTGGAAAATCAGGCCAACACGATCACAGCCCAGGCCAACATCAACAGCGCTAAGTTATGTTGAAAGCATGTGCCTTCAATGACTGAATGAGAAGGTCATGGTGTCCTCTTTGTGATCTTCCTACCAAAAACTCATGTTGTTTTTGTTAAGTGCCATCGAGTCGATTCTGACTCATAGTGACCCTGTATAGGGTGTCCAAGGAGCGGCTGGTGGGTGTGAACTGCCCACCTTGTGGGCCAGTGCTTTTCCTATAGGGTCACACCAGGACTCTTCAAACATGTAACTGCAGGCTAATTATGAGAGAACCATCAGACAAATCCCAATGGAGGGACACTCTACAAATGTCTGTTAAGGTTACCAAAAACAAGAGAAGTTTGAAGAATGGCGATAGCTCAGAGGAGCCCAAGGAGACGGGATAACTAAATGTCAGCTGTAGTTCTGTGTGGGATTCAGGGACAGAAAAGGGACGTCAGTGAGAATATTGGTTGTGGTAGCTAATGTTTTGTGTCATCTTGGCTTGGCCAGGATTCTCTGTGGTTTAGCAGTGAAGGTAAGATCTAACGTGATGTAGTCACGCTCATGACGTAAACTGATGTGATGTAATGATCCTGTAGCTTGTAAAGCCTCACATCTAGGATGTTAATGAGGTTGGAGGCAATCTACAGGATTAGGTTGCACCTTGAGCCTGTCTCTTCTGAGCTATAAAAGGAGGGAGGTGAGCAGAGAGGAGGGACCCCCCCCCCCCCACCCCCAAGGAAGAAGAGCCAGGAGTGGAGTGTCTCTTTGGACTTGGGGTCCCTGCACTGGGAGGCTCCTAGATCCAGGGAAGATTGATGCTAAGACACATGGAGAGCTTCAAGGAACACTGGGCCTGTAGGTGCTAAAAGGAGACAAGGACCTTCCCCTAGAACCGACCTACAGAAAGCCTTTCCCTAGAGTCGGTACTCTGAATTTGAACTTTTACACCTCCTAACCTGTGGAGTCCTGGTTTGGCATTGTGAGTTAATGCGCCAGACTGCAAAACCATTTGAACTGCAAGGTTGGCAGTTCAAGCTTATCAGTTGCTCCTCAGAAACCCTATGCAGGGTTGCTATGGGTCGGAACCAACTCAATGGCACTTAACAGTAACAACAAATTGTGAGAGAATAAATTTCTGCTTATTAAGGCCCCCTACCCCTTGTAATAAAGAGCTCTGGTAGCGTAGTGGTTATGAATTGGACTACTAACCTCAGGGTCAGCAGTTCGAAACTACCAGCTCCTCCGTGGGAGAAAGATGAGACTTTCAGCTCCTGTAAAGATTTACAGCCTCGGAAACCCTGTACAGGGTCGGTATGAGCTGGAACTGACTCCACGGCACATAACAACAACAACTTGTAATAGGAGTCCTGGTGTGGTGCTGCGGGTTAATGTGCCAGACTGCAAAGCCATTTGAACTGCAAGGTCGGGGTTCAAGCTCACCAGCTGCTCCTTGGAAACCCTATACAGGGTTGCTATGGGTCGGAACCAACTCTATGGCACTTAACAACAACAAACCCCTTGTAATAAGGAGCTCTGGTAGTGTTGTTGTTGTTGTTGTTAAGTGCCGTTGAGT